ACTACTCACTGGCCCTTACCATCCCGGCCAGTATCAAAGATGCACCAGGGTTGGCATCCGTCTTTCGAAGGAAGTTTGGTCGAGTTGCAGAACTTCAATGCCAAGTGCCAGCTCCTGTAAAACCTTGAAACTTCAAGATGCATCACGTTACCTTTTCTACCTGGTAACAAAAGACACTGCCCGTGACCAACCTACCTACCGAGATGTATGGGAAGCCTTACTTCAGTTGAGAGAGCACGTACTAGAGTCCGACGTGCAAAAGTTAGCCATGCCAAAGTTGGAGTGCCGCCAATTAGATTGGAGGGTTATACGAAATATGGTGGAGGAAATCTTTAAAGACACCGAAGTCCAGGTGTTAGTCTGTTGCAATCCACATAGTTACTGTGCGGAGAGAAAACCGTCCCTTGTCATTTCTATACAACTGGAAGTTGTAAAAGAGGTCCAGTTGCCGATATCAGCATGTCGTTCCAGTTCCAGTCCCGACAAGGTTCCAGGAGGAACCATCTTTTAAGAGGGGGCAATGTTACGATTTTAAATGTTATGGCATATAGAACTGTAAATATTTTATGACTAATCCTTTTTTATTGATTCTCGTAATTTGTAGGTCAAAATATACCTGAGCTTCGATACCAGTTGTTTACAGAATAATCTAGACCCTAATTTTAGTGAGTCATCCACGACTCGAAGTTGAAAAAGAACATACCAGTTTTAAGACCAGTCGCCGCCGCCGTGTCTACGTCGAGATCGAGAACGGCATCGTATTTTCTACAACATTCTGTTACAAGCTGGTTTCATATAAATACCGGAAGATTTTTATTGAGGAGTTAGTCATAAGAAGATCGGTAAACGCGGTTTACTTGTAACGAAACGTGAAATAAATACATTTGTAAAGTTATTTAATAAATAGTAATTAGCTATCGTGAGTTTTAATAAATTAGATTATAGACAATAAATTAGAATAAAGACAAATAAATTAGAACTACATAAATATACAACAATATATTCTCAAGAGATATTTACCTAATATAAATAAATAGCTATGTTTATTGTTAGAATATTGAGATGTGTACAATTCTAATCACAAAGATATATTGTAAAGAAATGAATACTTAAAATAAATAAAACATGGAAATAACCAGTAATACTTTACCACTAGTTTGTGAGCTGATCCTTTACAATTTTAATGATTTGTCTTTAACATATATTAGGTATAATTTGCTTTATTGAATAGTAGGGTAGGTTAGGACTAAACTAAATAGGTGTATAAACATACAATAATTTTTAAATATTATATAATTTAAATAATAAATGAAGAATCATAATAACAGGAATAAAAGCTAGTTTTAATATTTGTTATACACAAACAACTATGATTTTTTTCTAAATAAAAACTGTACAGATTTTATCCGTAGGATATGGAATCCTGCACTTTGAAAGGAAGATAGTCAATTTGAGAAGAAAACTATGAATAATAAAGTAGGAGAATAAGAAGAATGAATAAGAAAGAACAAAATTAGTAGCAGGCCAACGGCTTCATGTAGAAAAAGAGCACAACAGAAACATGTCAGAGAAATGAAATTGTGTTGAAGACATGCATTGAAAAGAAATATTTTTAATTAGGTTTAAAAATTAAATTATACAAAGAAAAATTTAATAAAAAAATGTTCTATGTATATTAATGATTCTCCGAGGTTTTCCCATAACACAAAAATATTTTATAGGGTTCTCAAACACCTTCAACTTAAGGAAGTTCAATAACGTCTTTATTTAGCAATTCATCTTCAAAATTGTCTCCACTTTGATTTTTTAATTGAATCATTTCAACTATACAGCCACTTTCATTGGCTAAAATTGGAAACTTTCTTCTTCCATACACATTCTGTTAAATATCTGGAATTCATTGCACAAAATTTCAGGATATCTTAGTGAATTGTTTTAGTGGACAGTCTGAATGTGAATTTAAAATCTAATCAATAATATAGAATTATTCATACCTGGTTCAAAAAAATAGATGAGTGGACTCAACGCAAAGTTAATTTAAAAATCCTATCAATAATACAATATTATTCATACCTGGTTCAACAGGAAAATATATCCAGTATCACCAAACTATCAGAATTTAAAATGTCTAAATTCTTTTTTTTTTTGAAAGTTGCTGTTTTTGAGAATCATGAGCGGAATGTGACAGCCTAGGTACTATATCACTCCATACTTTTCATTTTGCAATCTTATAATACTTGGCATTTCAAAGAAGACCATCCTTTCCTGTTTCAGAAATAAATAGCATCCATATCTCTTGGAAAACGTTGATTTATCCATTTTTAAACTTTCGACTAGATCAAGTAAAAGATAGGAGTGAAGAAAAAGGTAGAATTATATAATCTTTTATTAACAAATATTTACTATATATCCTCAAAGCGTTAAATAAATAATATTTGAAAAAAAAACATGTAAGAAAGGGAAAAAGTAAACAATATTTTAATATAAACTAGAGTTTTCTGCCTCTAAACTTTATGTTTTTCCTAAAAAAAATACATAATATTATTTTCTGTCTTTTCCTTTTTACCTCTTTTACGTAACTATTACTTATTACTTGACACACGACTTAAAAATGCAAAGTTCAATTTGGTTCAATAATCAAAAACAAAATAATTATTATCCCTACTTCGCGCCAAATCTACACAGGTTGGTGATACTGAATTCACGTCCAATAAATGAGAAAAATAGAACATGTTCTATTTCGTCAATTTCTTCACGAAGTTATTCATGAATTTATTCACGGCAAAATTTGATGTCAAATTGTGCTTTACACCGGTCAAATTTGACCTTGAAGCGACTTCGCGAATTTCTTCATGAATTTATTGTTGGTGTAAAGCCCGTATTAAGAAATAAGAAAAGGAGATTTTGACAAACGACAATGACAAATGCAAAATATCAAATTTTAGGTGTTCGCAGAGCACAAAACATAACTCGATGGCACAAAATCACAAACTAATTCCAACTGAACATGCGCACTGTATCTTAAATCACAAACCGTTTGTAATCGCTACTACTACCACAGAATAATAAACAATCAGAAGGGCCACTCTCAGATGCCGCCTTTGAAGTTTTTCAGCACCCGCGCCATGTTTTAGGAGGACACAAACATATGATTTGTGAGGTTATGCAATTGTTTACATTCAATGACGTATAATATATAGACTACGCAGTCCCCTATTCTCGCTATAGAATCAAGTGTCTGAAAGATCTCGGCTCAAGGTTGAAGGTATGTTTATCAAAACAGCGGCGTGCTCATTTATATGTTAATGACAATAATTATTTTTTTAATTAAAATTAAATATTTATGATTTCTTTTTGTTCCCGTCTATAAGAGAAATAATTATTTTGATAAAATAGTATGGCATTTTACTAAAATAGTAAGTAAATAACTCTCAACAATTTAAAATAAAATTTGCTTGTCACACAAAATGGAGTACGTCCATGATGTTTTCAAACACAAGATCAACTTCGTGATGCTTCGTAAGAAATCATGAACTTCGTGCATCTTCGTATCAAAACAATAAACAATAACAAAGGTATTCATGTTTTGGACACTTTTTAAAGCGTTCACCGAGTCTATATATTATACGTCATTGTTTACATTTATGTTTAATTATATTATATTTATGTTATTATATTTAAAACTGTTAATATAATTGTATAGTATGTCTATGATTGCCGTAAGACAAATAAACCTGTTTTTTTTTCATGCACACCACATAAACAACACTGGTTCCCTTTAAAATCCTTGTAAAACATGGCGGAACGTCTGCGCGAAGGAGATGCGCGTACTTAATTTTCCGTGGAGAGTGGGCATTTGTTTATTATTCTGTGCTAGTACTACGAACAAACCCATGGCACAGAATAATAAACAATCAGAAGGGCCACTCTCAGATGCCGCCTTTGAAGTTTTTCAGCACGCGCGCGCCATGTTTTAGGAGGACACAGACAGATGATTTGTGTGGTTATGTAATTGTTTATATTTATGTTTAATTATATTATATTTATGTTATTATATTTAACAATGTTAATATAATTGTATAGTATGTCTATGATTGCCGTAAGTTAAATAAACCTGGTTAATTTTTCCATGCACACCACATAAACAACACTAATTTCTTTAAAATCCTCCTAAAACATGGCGGAACGTCTGCGCGGAGGAGATACGCGTACTTATGCCTGGTTGCACCAACAGATCTTAAGCTCCAGCTTAGCCCAGCTCCGCTTATTGCTAGGGGCGCCTTAACTCTCACTTACGTTGCACCATAATTTTCGATTCTTATCTAAGCACGCAGACAGCAACTTAAGCTAACAATAACGGGGACTTGAGATTAAGATGGGTTTAAGCTGAAAATCGACCTAAGACTCAATGGTGCAACGCGTATGTTTCATAAGTTGAACTTAAGGCACACCTTAAGCTTAAGATATGTTGGTGCAACCAGGCATTAAAGTGTTGTTTATGTGGTGTGCATGGAAAAATTAACCAGGTTGATTTGACTTACGGCAATCATAGACATACTATACAATTATATTAACACTGTTAAATATAATAACATAAATATAATATAATTAAACATAAATATAAACAATTACACAACCACACAAATCATATGTCTGTGTCCTCCTAAAACATGGCGCGCGTGCTGAAAAACTTCAAAGGCGGCATCTGAGAGTGGCCCTTCTGATTGTTTATTATTCTGTGGTATGAAGATGAAGCATAGATAAGTCAACCTTAAAACGTTGTCACAGCAGTTTCATGATAACCAACCTTTCCAGCTGTCAGCCTCAGCCGTTTATCTGTCAATCGTCAACTTTTCAACAAGATCAAACTTAATAATACAGTGTATCTGTTGCTTTTTATTCAGTTTTAGTTTAATTCCTTAAAAATGCTATTAGACAGATTAATTATAAAATAGATTGTTCACAGCTTTCATTTCTAATACACAATAATTCAATTAAATATGTACTTTGACGATACCGGGGTAAGTTTTGCAAATATTAGGTGAAAGTACTCAGTTTAATAATTCTTTAAATGAAACTTATAGCTAGCTGTGGTGGGCCAACCAGAAAATCCAGGTATAATTAATGTAGATGAAGACTATGTACAAACGCACTGCATATTGGCTGATGGGGGGGATAGATTTGGTGTATCAGCTTTAGCCTTTGATAAACATGAAGAACTGCTCTGGATGGGAAATCAGGGGGTAAGAGCCTTTTCTTATTTAGAATCCTAATTTAAGTTTGTAATCAAGTACATTAAATACTTAACAAATGTAATATAAGAAAGTTTCAATTTTACCAGTTAAGCATCTGCACAAACCACAGGTAAGATCCAATCTTACCTTAAGTATATACACAAGTACAAAATCACACTAATCAGGTCTTTACACCCTTTACAAGTATCTTATCTTTTATTTGGGAACAGTGGTCTTTTCAGCATTTGACATAAATAATGCCATTGATCAATAGTCAAAATCAGTTTCTCATCATATTTGTTTCTTGGACTTGAGATGTCTACTCTGCCTACAGTAATTGTCTTAAGCCTTTTTGCAATTTAACAAAGTAAAATTGTGTCTTACTAGTGACAGTTAAAGTAAGTTTATTAATATTTTAATTTCCTCTTTCCGGAAATTGTGGTCTAACCTAACCTAACCTTAATAAAATAGTAATTAAATTAAAATTCCACAAGAAGATAGCTTCAGAACAATAGTAACTGGTGTCTAAAAATTCTGTTTCAGAAGCAACTTGCTATATACAAGAAAGAATCACAAATAGAGTTTATTTTATGATTGAGGTTTATTCCCACTTAGTACATAGTTAACACAAGCTAAGATGGTGTAAAGAAATACTTTTGGAATAATTTGCCATGTATGATATACATTAACAATAGTGTAACAATTTTTCCAGAAACTGCTTCAGGAAATGTGTGATAAATACAAAAATGATCAAGTTGTTGTTAACTTATTGTTACTTTACTTTATTGTAACTTAAAAAATATATTATTGACACCACCTATTCTCTTTCAATATACAGCATATACTTCCAGTATACAGTGATATCTTCTTTTCTTTGCCAGTTTTTGTCCAGTCACATCAATTGCAATTCTTTTGATTGGAGATCTGGTCATTCTATATGGCATTTGGTTCAAATTCTTATTCCTGGACCCTCAGAGAAATATAGGTAAAGTTAGCATATCCATTTTATATGGCTGAATTCAGACCAAAAATTTAAATTTATTGATTATTTATTATGAAAGAAAAAATTTATTGCTGTAGTTGTTTCTGATAAACAATATTTATGCTAACTTTATGGTAAAACTATGCAGCCACAGCTATATCTTGGTAAATAAAAGATCTACAGGGCTTATCTTGGTGGAATATTTTATTCCTTATAAAGGGCTACAGGGACTATTTTGACAGCATATTTTATTGCTAATTGATTGGTATATTGACCAACTCACACAAACTACCCTATCATCCTCTAACATAAAAGTCTAGAATTAGAAGAGAAGAGAATTAATTGCTAATGTATTGTTGAAGTTTTATACCAAGAAACAATATATTGCTGTAACTGTTTCTGAGAAACAATGTTCATGCTAACTTTCCTATTTCCCTTATAAAGGGAAAATCAAGATATCTGCTTCAAATCAATGAAAGTAGGAAAGTGAACCACAAAGAATTAATTATTGCTAATGTATTGCTGAAGTTTAATGTCAAGAAACAATTTATTGCTGCAACTGTTTCTGAAGAACAATGTTTGTGCTAACTTTATGGTAAAACCACATAGTCATAGCTATATTATCTCAGTAATGATAAGGGCTACATAGCTCATCTTGGCAGCATATTTTATTTCTAATTAATTACTGTTGATTGATACATTGATCATTTACAGCCTAAATGGCTTGGATCTAAGCTTTTTGGGTCACAGATGGTAATTTTTGGCACTCCTTGGTTGGCTCTGTATCAAAGTATTTTCTAGCTTATCCCCTTCTGGCAAGATCATTACCTTTTCTATTTACAGTTATTATTATACCTTTTTAAGTTTTAAAATTAAAAATTTAACAATTTAATATATTAAAAATAAAGATTTTATTGTGAAAAAACAAAAAAAGACAGTTTGCAAATCAATGGGATCGAAATTTGTTTAGGCATAGATGCAAAGTTGAATAAATAGCTCCATTCATACTCCTTTCCACTTCCTCCTAACTACAGTCTTTCATGATAGTTTTAAGCCGATGGCCACAGTATAAACCATAACCAAATCGCCCATTTAAACTGCTCCTCTATATGCGTCTATATTCTTTAATATTATGAATTGATTGTACATAAGAAAGTGGCCTCCTCTAAAAAAAAAGAAACAGAAAATAAATCTACACACTTTTGTCCAGAATTACCACCATAAAACCATTTTATTATTTGAACTTTTTCTGCAGGCATAGAAATTAAAGATCTACTAAAGAATAAGGCTTCAAATAACTACTGTACAATGAAATTATTATTGGCGACGAGGTCAATGAAGCAGGTTCGTAGAAAGTCGACGGCGCACAGTGTTGCCATTTATAGAGTATATCTATTTTAAAACGTTAACGTACTACATATATATATATAAATATATATTATATATATATATATATATATATATATATATATATATATACATCTTTATTTTGACAACATTTCATTAAGGTCATACTTGCCATTGTCTAGTCAGGTAATAACACTTTTTGCTGGTGTTTGTAGTAAACTGCTTCAAGTGTTTACTATTATGAGTCTCAATTTTTATATTGTTGATTTTTTAATAAACAACTGATTTTCCTGGGAAAATTCTTTAACGCAAGAAAAATATACTATTTATATTAATACTAACTAATGATAAACCATGAAGACAGTGTATGCAATGCCTATTTTGTTAAATGATTTAATATTTTTTACTAGGGTCATGTAACTTCCTATCTTGCACCAGGACAATCAAAATACACTTCATTTCAAATTCATGCAACTGAAGAAGTTAGACAGATACTCCCTGTTGATGATGGAATTTTGTGTTTAACAGCGAGCACATTAAGATATCAAATACGAAGGGGAATACCTGTATATACTCATAGGTGAGTGCTTATCTGCATAATTAAATGTAGAGTTTACTTTAGAAAAAGTTATTAGTTAACAGTTTCCAATTTTAAATGCATGAGGGAAAATCTCTTTACTTATAACTAACTCTTTAGGGCATAGCATTTTGGCCACCTTTTTCTTTGCTGTCTTAATAAAAACTTAATCTTAATAAAAGAATTAAAATATTTAAAAATTACTACAAAAATCAATTTTTCTACTTCCTGCTTATAACTTTAAAATAATAATTCTGGAGCAAAGTCGTACTGAAATAAAATAGCGACAATTAAATTTTCTATAAAATAGGTTTAAAAATGTTTTTATTGGTTACTGCTGCTGCAAAACACCAATAAGTAAAAAAAAGTGGGGGAAACAAGCCTTTTCTGATTCAATGTTTTTTCAACCACGTAAATTACACTTAGGGCGACCTTCATAATCCGTCTAGAAAATCTTTAAAAATAGTAAATCAGTCCTCCAAATTTGTTTAAAAAAATTGAATTTTTAAAAAAATATTGCACAATAAAAACTAGACCATATAGAAGTTAATCAATTTTTTTACTTTAACCTATTTTTTATTTTGAGGTGAGAATCTTCTAAAGATCTGAAGACCTCTGGGAAGTTGTCCCAGGTGTTATGGATTTTGTGACTGGTGACTGCCTGGCAAAACTATACGAAAATATTGTCAAATATCGCCTAGAAGATAAATTAAGTGAAAGAGAGACTATCTCCAACAGACAATATGGATTTAGAAAAGCTAAATTAGCCATAGACGCAGTAAAAAGTTTAACTGATACTGTAAAAAACACAAAGAAAAAATGTGCCATACTGGTAATGTTTGATGTGAAGAATGCCTGTAACTCTGCCAACTGGGCACATATCATAATATAACAAAACTGGAATCAACATTAGTGTCAGGATATCTTATCAATATTATTAAAAGGTATCTTACTAATAGACACGTTACAGTGGCAACAAATACAGAACAGAAGTTAACAGCCGGCGTACTACAAGGTTCCGTATTAGGTCCGACACTCTGGAATATATTATATAACAGGGTACTAGAAAGAGACTATGGTAGAGATACTCTAGCTATTGCATACATAGATGACCTGGTAATACTAGTCATGACTGCTATAAACTGGAAAATCGAAGATAGTCAACACATGCTGCAGAAAAGTCAACAGCTGGATGGCTAGAAACGATCTCAAACTGACAGAAAGCAAAACGAAGTGGTCGTACTAAAAGGGCCACGACGAAGACCCGAGATGACTTTTCAAATTGGTAGTACTATTATAATACAAACTGTGCAAAATACATAGACACATACATCAACACAGGTCTAAGGTTCACGAAACACCTGACAAATGTAGTCCAGAGGGTAGAAGAAAGAACGGAAGCCCTACAAAGGATCATGCCGAATAAAGGAGGCTAAAGCAGCCAAAAACGAAGAATGTAATACTACAGGTAATAGCGGGCGCGCTCCCTATTCATCTCCTAGCAAAAGAACGGCAGACGCTCTAAAACTCTCGAGGCGGCCACCTATCCCAGGTCAGAGCCGTCATCAGAGACTAATTACTAACAGAATGGGAGGCACAGATAGACAAGGCACAATGGACCAAAAAATTAATACCCAATGTGATAGAGTAGAACAAATGTAAGTTCAAGTGAGTAAATTTTTAATTTTATGCAGTTCCTGACCGGACATGGATCTTTTAGGTCTTAACGTATCGTATACGAAAAACCAGCGATAATAATAATTGTGTCATATGTAACGTAAAAGACGATGTGGAGCATTGTATCTTCAGGTGCAAGGTGTTTGCGTCGGAACAACATATAATGCGAACAAAGCTAGGAGAGATATCCTCTGACAACTTGATACGTGTCGCTATGGAAAGCAGAGGGAACTTTGAATTTCTTATAGACCAAGTAACAAACATTAAGAAGAGAAAGTCCATGATAGAGAAAAAAACTGAGACAGGATGAGAGTGGTCTGGGGCAATCCGCCTCCATTTGAAACTGGTTATCATTATATATTATGTATGAATATATAGATATGTGTATATATGTATTTGTGTGTACGTAGGTATGTGTATGTACGTATGTACGTACATTTAGCATTTTTCATATAAAAATGCTTGCACGTCATTCAAGATACACGACGTCAGAATCCCACAGCGTTGCCAAAACATCAGAATATGTAGTTAGTAAGTGAGGAATTTTCAAAATGTCAACTATTTGTCAAATTATTATATTAACAGTAAATACACTTAGTTTTAAGACTACTGCAACACACTAAAATACATAAGAAAACATTTTAATACAAAATTATATATTCTAAATTTTAAACTTACCCCTTTTAATAGTAAAAACGTCCTGCCATTATCTGCTTTCTACAGACTATTTGTTTTGGCATAGCACAATCACAATACACAACAATAATTACTTTTTAAAGCTATTAATCTAAATTTAATATGCATTTATAAATACACTTTATTAATATATATTATACTATGATCAAATTGTGTAAGAAATCAAAACATAAACAAAATTCTTACTCTTAAAAAGCGGCAACGCTTTATACACTTTTGAAACACGCTGAACTGTCAATAAAATTTGAAGTATTCGTTGCGTACAATTGTCTAATCTATTTAATTAAAATTAATATTTTGTGGAATATTAGACTTAAAGAGTTATTTTATAAAATTTATATATGTTTTTGGTTATTTAATCAATATAAATCAAACATTTCCAATATAATGATGATTACATTTTTCTGATTATTGCATCATGTTGACGCCTAAGAAAGATCGAGCAGTTCCATATGGGTTTCATATTATTAGCTGTGTTAGGAAAATTTGAACTCCAAGGTTGAGGTTCTGAAAATTTTAAATATGACGTCACTTTATATAAATTGTGACGTGCAGGCATTTTTATATGAAAAATGCTATATGTATGTACTACACTTGTTTACTATACTTACTTATTGTTACCTATTATTATCTAATACCTAGTATTCCTATAACTTATTTTTACCTAGTATACCTATACATTCCATATACTTTCCCCCTGGTTCCTTACCGCTCTTAGGTAATACCATCGGCAAGGCCATGTCACTATTTTACATACTATTTCTTTTGGTACCTTACCGCTCCTAGCTAAGAACCGGCAACAAATCTTCATTATCAATTCAGGCAGCTCAAGGCACCATTAAGAGGCTACATCAGCGCGTCATCAATATTAATTCGAGAAATGGTGGCCGCACCGTCTTTCAAAAGTTCTGCGAATCTTTGGCAACAGTGCGTCGGTAGTACGTGACATTATATAAAACGAAGGCACAATATTGTGATAATAATTAGAGTTCGGATCGGATTTAAAAGCATAAAGAAACGCACAAAAAACAGAAAGATTTTATGAAAATATATTATTTATTATATAAAAAAGCATAAACATAAGCATACAAATTTTAACAAACCTTTTTTACGAAAATTAGTATAAAACATCTTAGCTTAAGAATTAGTAAGTACCTAATTACTATCATAAATATAATAATAATATACAGTGTGTTTCAACGAAAATTTGGCCCTCCCAGACACTCAGAAACCAAGATTTTTTTCAAAATTAAATAATTTACGAAATAACTGAAGATAATTTTTGCTAATTTATTGGTTGAACATAAGTTATAACAAAAAATATAAAATTTCATCAAACTAACCAATTTAATGTTAGAAATGACCTCTTATGACCCCAATACAGTATATTTTCAAAGCCCTTTCGTACATTTGCAAATACCTCCGATCTGAATAATCGGCATTCTGTCATAATTCTTTGCCGAAACTCGGCAAGATTTACAGACGGAGTGGCATATATTTTTGATATTAGGTAAAAGGCAAAACATGGGGATGCTTTGTCCTGTTAGAAAGTCATTTTATCGTTTAAAAGATTATCTTCAGGTTCCAATATGTCAGTGAGCAGCGGATCAATAACGTCTTCTAACAAATTTAAATAAGTTATTCCGTTGAGATTTCCTTAAAAAACTAATAGTTTAATAACGCGATTCCCTAAAATTCCAACCCAAATAACGACAATTATGTCTATTGTCTTCACCATTTAACATAAAAGACACTCGTCGGAAAACACGTACAATCGATGGTGGTTGTTTTTATTATTTCACTAAATTCTTCATAAATTTGACGTCGATGATCAGGATCATCTTCGTTTAATTGATGAAGGAATCGTATTTTATAAGAGTAGAATTTATAGTATTTTATAATTCGATAAACACTAGATGCTCATAGACCAGATGCACGAGGTAATTGTCTGATAAACTGTCGATTATCCATTTGTCAATGACCCAATACCACCACTTCAACTACTTCATTTCGCACTCGACGGTCTACTTCATCCTTTGTGTTATTAACGTCACATAAAGCTTAAACTTTTTTCTTTAAACTTTTTCAGTTTAATGTATTGGTGAATTAAGTTTTTTCTGGATTTGCCTCAGCCTTAGGACACTGATAATTTTCATAGTATAGCTTCACTAGTTTTATTCTTTCTTCACTAAAATATCCCATTTTAGAATCTACCTAAATTAATCTAGAGGATTTGTGTACCTAAATACAGATTTATTACCAATTTCATTTTCATGGGAAACAACTTTTCACACCTTTTATTTATGACAACACTAGATTGCTTATACTTACACTTACATTATTAAAATTTGTGGTGACTCTAATTTAGATTTTCGAATCGTTTTAGCACGGTTTTTACTGGACCTTTTCTTGGAAGACGTGACTTTAATTTTAGCTTGAGAAATTTTTCCCATTTTCAAAAATGTTTATATTTCTAGATAAAACATCCTACTCGCATAAGAATTTGAAATGTTTTTACGTAAAATAGAATTTTAAAACCCACAATTAATAATAATCTATTTTTCAAATAGTCCGCCAACTCAGTTCTATTACCCAGAAATAATAAATTAATTTTAAACAAACAGTACTTA